CCCTAGACCCTTAAACCCCAAAACCCCAAACCCTAAACCCTAAACCCTAAACCCTAAACCCTAGACCCTAGACCCTACAACCCATTCAAGAGACTCCTGGCTGAAGCCATCCCCACCTCCTTAGGCTCCCTGTCGGGGGCCCTCGGAAGTCTAAGGGTCCCTCATATCACCCATGGGCCCCATAGTAGTTCCTTTTTGGGATTTTCCTTATAGGGTTTAGGGTTTTGGGTTTAGGGGTTTCGGGTTTAGGGTTTAGGGTTCATAGTAGTTCTTTTTTTGGGATTTCCTTATAGGATTCTAAGTATGAACCCCAAAAAGGAGCTACTATGGGGCCTATGGGTAGAGCCAACTTGCGGTTGCCGAATGGTCTGAGTCTCTCCTCTGCCGCTGCACACCTCAAGTCGTAAGCCCTAAACAGCATCTTCATCTCCGGAAACCACGCTCCCGAAGCAACGCACCGGGGTTTGGCTACATGGAAGGCTCAGAGTCTTATATGTTCATATGAAATTTAAACTTGAGGGCCATTGTAGGGTGACCCTAAACCCTAACCCGGTACATCAAAGGCACAGGGTCGAGGGGTCGATTAAGGCAGTAGGAATATTATGCCCTGACAGTTGTTTTATTTTGGGGTAAAATATACCCCAAAGCCGCATTCCAATTCTTAAGGCCCCGGCATTGGGGACTACGGCCAGTTTCTCCAAGGTGTGCGGCGAACAGCCAAGGCGCCTTCGCTGCTTTCGCTGTGACGAGCCGCGGCCTTAGAACGCTTGGCGAGGGTTTGGGGATCTCTCTCAAGGAATAATGTAGGAACCTGATAAAGAGACCATCAGCCTATAACCCCCAAAGATATTAGGATTCATAGACAGAGCCCTAAAAAAAGACCCACAGCTTCTTAGGAAGCTTAAGATTTAAAGGGAGGTCTAGAACGGGCAAGTAGGGATTATAGGGCGTCGCTTTACTCGGGGTGCGACGGTTGATGATAGAAATCCTGCATTACCCATAATAAAGGAATATACCATAATTCTCATAGTTTGGGGTCCTTAAGGTACTGCAGGGTTTACATCATCAACTGTATGAGTGAGTCCCAGATCGAATTATGTTCAGTCCATCTCGGCTTTTTCGGACGATGGGTCGTAAGTGTATTGTGGCTTGTTTGTGTTCTTTAGGTTTTCGGGTTTAGGGTTTAGGGGATTTATGCCCAAAACCATCTGTGGAGGGTCAAGGTGAACCCTGGACCCTCAACCCCTCTGCTTTTGGTTCTTGTGCAGGGCCTCTGTGGCCTCTGAAGTAGGAAGCCGGCGCTGGAAAAGTAGGAGTTCGGTATACTGGGTGTTCTTGAGAAGACGGGTTTAGGTTTAGGGTTTAGGATTTAGGGTTTGGGGTTTGGGGTTTAGGGTTTAGGGTTTAGGGTTTTGCAGTCTATACTTGGGTCTTCTGTGTTCTGAATCTCCGGCAAGGCATATATAGGCACGAGGGTAGCAAAAGACTGCTCAGCAGTTGGGTTCAGCCCTTACGCCCGAAACCCCTAAACCCCTAAACCCCTCAACCCTGAAACCAAACCCCTGAACCCGTAAACCCCTAACCCTTGAACCCCAAACCCCTACACCCCTAAACGCCTAAACCCTTAAACCCCTAGCCCCTACACCCCTGAACCCTGAAAGCCCTAACCCCTAAAGCTCTAAACCCCTAAACCCCTAACCCTTAAACCCTTAACCCCTAAACCCCTTAACCCCTAAACCCCTAAATCCCTAGCCCTTAAATAAACCCTTAACCTCTAAACCCCTAAACCCCTCGAACAAGTAAACCTCTAACCCCTAAATCCCCAAACCCTAAACCCCCAAACCCCTAAACCCCTAAACCCCTAAAGCCTAGACCCTACATCGTGCACCCCATTTGAAGCCCCGCGGCCTGAATCTGAAACCCTAAGCCCTAATATAGGGATAGGGTTTTGGGTTGCATTATAACTATACTATAACTATAACAGGGAACCCTCGAAATGGTATTGGTACTATTCAGGCCCCTCTAATCCCTATATTAGAGGGTCATACGCCGCCCCTTCTTTAGGGTTCCTAGGCTTCCATATAACAGACCCTCACCATACAACCAGGTAGCATACACAAGGGGTAGGCTATGACCCTAAGGGCCCAAAGGACAAATTATGTATTTGGATTTAGGATAGTAGTTTTGTAGGTTAGTATTTGGGAGAGTACGTTGGTTAGGCACTGCAACCCTTAAGGAAACGCTAAAGGTTGAATCCCAAATTTCCTTGGAACTCTCAACTTTACGCCGAATGCGTGAGTACCGAGTAGTTTCAGGTCACGTCCTCGCGGAGGCAACCGCTCAATGTCAAGTTCTTTGGTTGGCAAATGGGTGGCGTTCACAGCTGTGGATCTTAGGTGCCTAGTAAGGGTTGTACACCATGTTTCACGGGGCTTTCAAAGGGGTCTATACGATTTTGCGTAGGTTCCGCGAGCCTTAGATGGGGATTTGCGGTTGATGCCCGCCGTTCAGGCTCAAAGGTCTGTATGATTTGAGGAGGGTTTAGGGTTTAGGGTTTAGGGTTTAGGGTTTAGGGTTTCGGTAGCCTTAGCCCTGACCTCAGATGGCTGCGGATGTTACGCTCACACCTGTGCTAAAGGTTCGGATGCAGCTAAGACCCTAAACCCTAAACCCTAAACCCTAAACCCTGAACCCTAAACCCTAAACCCTAAACCCTAAACCCTGAACCCTAAACCCTAAACCCTAAAGGTTCGGATGCAGCTAAGACTGCTGAGGCCCCTCAAGGTGCCTGTACCCATGGGCCTCATAGTAGTTCCTTTTTGGGGTTTAGGGTTTAGGGTTTAGGGTTTCTCATAGTAGTTCCTTTTTGGGGGTTCATATTTAGAATCCTATAAGGTAATCCCAAAAAGGATCTACTATGGGGCCTATGGGTAATCATTGCGGTCTTGCAAACACAGGCGGGTTGGGTTTCAGGCTTTAGGGTGTCGGGGTCAGACATGTTTTGCAAGTTTGTGCCTAAACCCTAAACCCTAAACCCTAAACCCTCGGCTGCGGATGTCCGCATCGGAAGAAGTGGGGGTCTTTCGGACCGGACTGCCAAGGCGCTTAGTATAGGGGGTTTGAACAGTTGCTGATCATATTCCCTTCTGGTCCCTACATGTTTGTCGGAGCAACATATCCCAGCATCTATTTGAAGTAATTGTGAGGGTCCAAATATCATTAATGTGTGTATATGTTTTTAGAGAGAGAGAGAGAGAGAAACAAAGGAGAGAGACAGAGTCAAAACACAATCTCGCAACGAAGGAGCCGAGGCAGTTTGCAGCAAGGGCTCAGGTTTGGCGGGATGTGGCTTGAAGGTCGTTGTCGTTCAGCGGGGTAAGTTTTGTAAACTAAGACTGCTAACTGGTCCAAGGAGAGTATGGGCAAGCTGAACCTGAATGGCTTCTGTGCTGCGTCGGCCAGCCAGATCATCCATGCTTTGACGGCCCTTTGGCTGCTGAGTTTGGGTCTAAGTCTAGCATACAGATACATGTAAAGAAGTATGTACATGCCTTTGCGTATTGTCTGTGCGTGTGTGTATATTATATATATATATATATATATATCAGATGTAGACTGTAGATGGTCGAAGCTCTGCCAGCTTGTGTGACGTTCAGCTTTTGAGTTTGATTGGGGCTCATGTTCCCTTCCTTTTCCAATCATCTCACTATGGCCCCAAACCCTAAACCCTAAACCTTCAGATGCGATAGAGTCAGTCGCCGATTTCTTGCTGTGGATAGGAGGATCCTCAACTCAGGGGAAGAGGCGATTAGGGCATAGGGCTTACCGCTCCGGGCTTAGGGTTTACAGTTTACGGGTTTAGGGTTTTTGGGGTTTAGAATGTAAGGGTCTTGGGTTTAGGGTATAAGGGTTTAGGGCTCAGGGCCTACAGGGCTGAGGGTTTAGGGTTGATAAGGGTTTCGGGGAGCCCCCAAACCCTGAAACCGAAAAGCCCTGACCCTGGATATCAATCTGCTGCGCAGTGGAAATATAGGGCCTTAAGCATTACCTATAATGTTTTGGGCATCCTTATTTTAAGTATAGCATAATACACCCCAAAACCCTATTCTGATTATTAAGGCCCCTACACTACACCTCATTTTGCTGCGTTGCTTTTGTTTTTAGTGGGGCGCCCTGGTGCACCCTGGAATCCCTTAAAAGCAGCACTCCAAGCCATCCTCTTAGTTAGTGAAGAAAGCTAAACCAAACTCCCCAAAACCTTCTAATTCTTAAGGCCCTACTCTACAACTAGTATATAGCTTAGTATAATTAGGGTATCATGGGCCCCAAAACTCTAATTCTATTTTTGAAAGGCCCTACATGAATCGAGACGCGAGACACAAAGCACAAGCACCAACCTTTGAACCTAAAAGCTGCCATCCCTAAACCCTCATGCCCCTTCTAGGCCTCAACAAGAATCCTTTATCCATAAGCTGAATCCAGAAATGCCTGAGTAACTACCGAGACGATAATAGTTTGGGGGTGGGGGGGGGGGG